CCTCAGGTTGCACCAGTGGATTCTCTCCAAATGAGAACAGTGTGTTTGCTAAAGGCAAACACAGCCCTGTCTGAATTACAAGAACTTCTCTCAAATAAGAGGAAATGTGGCTGTGGAAACTCTAATGCTTCACATTACCACAGCCACAATTCTTAAAAAAATAAAGAAAAGCAGAGACCAAATCCAGAAGCTATATGAAAAAGCCATTTGATACTATAGAATTTCTCTCTGCAGCCTAGAAGCAAAGCAGTGTTTGACAGTATTTCTTAGTGCTGATAATGTGCAAGGGTGTTTATCTTCATTACTTGCTAGCAGTGTGGTATATATTTCATTATATAAATGATTCTATTTGTAATTAAACATTTAAAATACGGTTGCTTTTCTTTACTCTTATGACAAGATAGAAGATTAAGTGACTTCCATTGCCCAGTGGAATTATCTATGCTCAAAAATTCTGCCCAAATTAATTTCTGTTGGTGAAATACATTTTTAAGTATTATAACCCTATTCATTTTGGGAAAATTAATATTTCCCATGATGAATATTTTAACCAAAATGTGGTAAGTTTTTAATAACTCTGAGATAGAAAACATGACTTAAAAGCTAGTCACCTTTTCATACAGTGGTTACTTTTCTTATATATAATTATTTTGGAGATTTCAAGGTAAAGAACATATTTACTCGATCGTATCCATTAATCTGAAAAATCCTTCCTTTTGGTTCTTCAAAAGACAACTGATTCTTTCTGAATTAAGTTCCTGTGTGCTCTACAATACAGTTTATGTCACATAGATGTGAGGTTGCGTCTTTTCAGACCTTTTTACAGTTTTAAAATGAAACAGTATTACATAAATGTTCCTAGCTTGAATGCCAGTTCCTCTGTGCACGACCCTTCTCTGGCCTTCCCAGTGCCAGCAACAGTCTACACCCTCTATTTCCTGTTGGTACATAGCCCTTACCCCTTCATTTGTGGCAATCTAGCTTTTTGTTACTGTGGTTCTTCTTCCAGTCTACCAGACTGGTACTTCTGCTTCAGTGTCTCAAGGCTGTTTTAGTTTCTTCCACGTGGAGCGTGGAGTACATGGGTTTGAAACTTCAAAATGGTGTTCAGATAAAGTGAAAAGAATGAAGCTTAGTTAGGTTGATAAGAGAGATTTTAACGAGTTTGATAAGCTTCCATTCAGTCTGTGTTAAAAGAGCCTAAGAATTGCTCTTAAGTGTTAACATTCCTGGCCCTTTTCTTTGCAGATAGAGAGTTGGATTTAGCCATCACTCCAATCCTTCAAGGGTCTAACTCAGTGCTTTTCATGAAGAGCAGGGTATTTCCTTACAGGATTACTGTAGAAGAGCAGCACAGTATGATTAAAAGTGAGTAAGGACTCTTGAATTCGCAAGACCAGAGTTTAAGTTCTGTTTCTGCTGCTGTCTAATTGCAAGATTTTCAGCAAGCTAGTGGACCTCTAAAAAAAAACATGCTATTATAGATTAATCAGAAATATACTATGATTAAATATTAGCTTGTTAGCAGCTTTAAATAGTTGTATAATGACAGTTCATATTCTTTTAGTAGAAATCATTAAAAGGTTTTAGCACTCTAGGAATGAAACGTGAAAAAAATCTTTGTTCCCATGTTGATGCTCTCTAACATTGACTTTGACTTTTTTTTGTATGCTTCTCCTTTTGATTCTGTGGTTCTGTGGCCCTCTGTTGTCCAGGAGCCTAGGAAGTGAGGTGGGAAGGGTGCTGTATAAGATAATTTTTGAAATAGAACTGGAGAAATATTTCTAGTAAGTCTGCTGCCATCCATATTATTCAAAGTACTTTTGTTTTTACTGAAATATCTGAAATCAAATACAGTAGAAGCTGTACAGGGAAGCAATACTTGTACCTGTCTTCACAATGTTAGGTTCATTTGAATTTAACTCAGCTCTTGATGATAATGATCATGACAGCCAGAGTGTTGGGCCTTGTGCTCTGAGGTAGAAATGCTCATCACCCTCACTCTGTAGGTGTCCTGTACCACAGCACAAAACTGCGAAGTGTTCAGCACAGTTCTTAGACCTGGAGCTACCACAGTAGGTAAGCACAGGTCAAATGAGCACAGGGGTATGGGTCACCTTCTGTGAGGCTGCACAGAAACTCTTGCAGGAGTGACTCAAAGCTCCAACACAAAACTATACTTAGTCCTGTCTCTTGGAGATCCAAAAGGAAATAGCCACTGGAATAGGTTTTGGATGTGGGTCAAATTTCCTTAGTAGAAGAGACCAAAGAATGGGTACAGGAGAATGAACAGGACCACAAGAATAAGCAGTAGCTGAGCCGAAAAAGATTGGCCCTGAAGAATGGATAGAGCAGGGCCAGAAAAGGTGCGATTGGAGAAAATGTCAAGGCATATTAATGGGCAGCCTGAAGGAAGGCATGAATCACTGGGAAAGCAACACTAATAACATGGCCCAGGAGGAAGTGGCCAGCCGTGGTTTTGGCTAAGGAGACCATGGAGACCGGGTGCATAGATGATTCTTTCAATAGCTTTTGTGGTCAATTGTAGGAGAAAAAGAAGTTGATAATTTAAAAGTTCATCTTATTTGTAAGATGTAAGAAAGAGGAAACTTAAGAATTAAAAGAGGATTTAGTAGAATTGGGAAAAGTAAAGATAAAATGGAAAGGCTAGAGTTTTTCTGAGCCATAGAAGAGGAGGTTTATAAAAAGTGTTTTATTATACTTCACATGCAATTTGAATGTTTAATTATCAGTTTCATTATAAAAGGAAATATACTGTGGACAAAAGGTACCTGGCCTTTTGATTCGTTCTCCTAACTTCTAGATCTTGACTGCTTAATTTTGTGTCAGACTTTAATGCAAGCGAATCAATCTGTAATGATATGCTTTCTTGGCAAGTTCTGGATCTTCCTTTTTCATACCCTGTCATCACAGCAGTCCCACTCTTTGTGGGCCAGGGGATGCCTTGGAACTGTCCCTCTGTTAGGCACAGAAAAGGACACAATAGATTAGAACAAAAGGTCCAAGAAGTAGGAGGAATACTTCAAAAACAACACAACTGGAACAGTCAGCCTAGAATGAGGAACAGTTCATCCTCACGAAGACAACCCAAGGAAGCAGAAAAGGGGGGAAATGCTACAAGATACAAGGGAGATCTGGGGCCATCTAGCACAGGCTCTGTGCAAAGTAGAGGGCCAACAGAGAGCAGCAGAGACCACTCAAGTGAGAGCGAGCAAAGGCTGTTTCTTCTGATCTTCCTAGAATAAGGGTGTCACCACCATCACATGTGGCTGGCAGAGACTGAGAGGCAAGCGGGAAGCTTTGCAGGAAGGGGGAATTGGGCTGACCCGAAAAGGGCCATGCTTTGTGATTGACTAGGGAGCTTATTTGGCTTTCTCTGGTTGGTCTGAAATTAGAAGTGAAGGAGAAAGACTGAGGAAGCAGGGTGCTCGTATTGAGTGTGATTATTTGGGGCCAATTGGTACAGATGTAGTGGTTTGGCTCCCCAAATTGCTGGTGATTGGGTCAGTGTTTTGTAGATGGTCTGGACATTATCCATTGCATATGCAGTCTCTCATGGGTTTGAGTTATGAGGGTGTTTTCACTGTGTGTGTGTGTGTGTGTGTGTGTGTGTGTGTGTGTGTGTGTGTATAAGCGTTTGTTCTACAGTTTGTAGTAGAGGCTTCAATTTGTGGCCTGGCCATATTTGAGTTATAATGGAGTCCACCATTCCAGATGGTGGTAAGCCCATGCCCGTTGTTTCTACAGATTTTCACACATCCCCCTTCAGTAACTAAGGAGACTGGAAACATTAAAAGTAATGCTCAAAATCCTTTTCTTTTGTGTTTACTCCCATACAGTTCTCAATGCATCTCTGGCTTTCAGAGAAGCCTAATTACTTTCATATACCATGAACAGTCAATAAAGCATTGGGAAAAGTCATACCTATAAATTTATATTACTTGAGGGAGAATATTTGGTCTTAGAAATATTAATGTAGCCTTCCATCTCATATTATAGGTGTTAGTTTTATTTCTGAAGAAGAATTTAATTGAGTTTCTGACCCACCTAAGAATGTGGCACTAGAGAGAAGGGCTTTTGCAAACTGGCTGGCTCCATCTTCGTAATTCTAGAGATGCCAGGTTAGAGGAGAGGCTGTGTGTTCGTAACAGTGTTGTACCTGGGCATCCCTTTGCTTTCATAGGTGAGATCGATAGCGTAGAGTAACAGAAACTCAAACAGGATGTCAGACAACTATTTGGAGGGTCATCATATTCATTTGATAAGAACTGAACTGTATTTTGAGAGTATTCAAAAAATATTGATAGTTATTATTTTTGTTGAGTAGCAAAAAGTTGAAAGTTACCAATATAACAGATAGGTGAAATGGAGAATCCTGGGTAGAGGGTGAAATCCTGGCTCTGAATGACTTCTGTTGAAATAACACTTCAGGTCTATTTTCAGGTAGAAACCCCAAATGCCTTTCTTTAGTAACACCTGTGCATGTGTAAATTAATATGCCAACAAAAAAATTGTTCTAGAGAAGTGTGAGATTATTGGAGTTAATGCTGCTCTTTATAATATTACAGTACAATGTCAATCCAAAGTGCTATTTTCTTTAGACTTCTGATATAAGAACAAAAGAAACAACTTTCTATTTCTGCACTTCATCAAACCCAGTCTTGTCTCTGGTCTCCAGGGCACAAAGGGGAGCGAGGAAAATGAAGTTTAGTGAACTAGAGATTATCACCTGCACTAGAAGAACAACTCACAACATTTATCCTGGTGAAGATGAAGGGAAAGTGGGTACCACTCATTTAATGAAAGTTGAGAAGTTGGGGAAAGGCTCTGGTCTTCAAGGTACCCTGGTAGCAGACAAGCTGCTCACTGTCCCTAGCTGAGTCCAGGGGCAAACTTTGCTGTTGCTGCAGTACTTCTTGTATTCCAGGCACAACCACCAACACCTTTGCTGTACTTATCAAGGCAGTTTTGCCTTTCAGGTGCTGGGACACACTTGGAGTCCTGAAAATTCTACAAGTTGCAAGGGGACAAGATTTCAAGAAATTTTTACTTTCTTCGGATTCAGGACATTTCTCTTCTTATGACACTTTCCCATCTTGATGAATCCAGTTCTGTTCCTTCTATGAGACTACATTACTAACTGGAGTAAAGATTGTATTTGTAAGTCTCCTTGCTTCTAGATGTGGCGGTATAACTAAATTCTGGCCAGTGAGGATAAATATATATGTTCTGGAACATACCCTTAAAGGTAGAGGCCTGTCATGGGTCTTCTATTGCCTAAGCAGTAGCTGGGATGGCTGGAACACCATCTTTGGATCAAGAGAATAATAATCATCCTAGTAATGATAAAATAGAATCTGGATGCAGTCCAGGGTTTAGATGACCACAGAACCAGCAACCAAACCCATTCTGCTCTGCTGATTCTCCAGGTATATATGAGTATCGTTGTCATTTTTTTTTTGTTGCTGAGTCAAAATACCTAATACCCATTGTTAAAGGAGGAAAGGTTTATTTTGGCTCATAGTTTATAGAGGTGTTAGTCCATAGTTGGCTGGCTCAAGGCAGGTTGCCATAGCACAGGGCATCAAAGAGGAGAAACAGTTTATGGCAGGGTAGGCAGGAGGCAGCAAGCAGCAGCAGCACCTGCAGCAGCCACAGCAGGAAACTTCCTTTTCCCTTTTATCCCATCCAGGCTACAAGCCTTTGGGGTAATGCCACCCATGCCTAGAGTGGGCCTTCTTCCCATAATGTATATACAGAACTATGCTAAACCAATCAGTGGACTAATTTACTTATCACATCCTTAATCCATATCCATACACCTCAAATCCAGTCACCTCCAAAAAGACCCACTGATGAGTGCATGAGGCTTTGAGGAGATGTCTATATAGAAGCCATAAATAGGGTGGAAGTAAAACCATGTCTGCTCATTTTTTTTTGCAAATGTTGCCTATTGTACACAGTTGTATTTGACTTTTAACTATATATGTGTGTATATATAAATATGTGCATATATCATCTCCTCCAGAAAATTCTATCATCCATGAATATGTGACATATTTACCACTGTGGGTAGGGGTGAAACCCTGGCTCTGAATGATTTGCATCCAAAAAACAATGCAGGCCTCCTGTTCTAATTAATTTGGATCAGACCCATGGAATTTAAAATATTGTAAGTAAAAAAAAATGTAAGTAAGCACTTCTAATTAGAAGGCAATTTAGTTAAGTTAAGTCATTTTGGTAGTCTTTCCTTAAGTGGAAATTCTGAAAACTCATTTCTCCTTTTAGCCCTATAAATTATAAAACTAACACATTAGATGTTCTGATTGACTTACACGCCATGTAACCAAATGACTATGGAAACCCAGATCAATTCCCCTTAGTTGAGGGCACTGAGGTAGAAGTAAGCATTCCTTCTTCAACCTCCCTCCCCCAAACTCTCTTGTGTCAAAGCCAAATATTGCAGGGATTTGAAAAATGTATGTCATGAGGTAGAACCAGACAATTCTCCAAACAACCCAAGTTAGAGTGAGTCAAAATTGAATAATTCCTTTACTGAAAGCACTCTCTTCCACGGATATTTGAATGAACAGACTGAAGAATGAATCTCAGAAGGCTCATTTCATTTTCCTGTTTGCCATTTTCATCTTGCCTCATAACATCAAATACTGGAAGAACTACTACAAACTTTAGTCCTACATGACTTGGAGAGGGCCCAGTGATATACCGAGGTTTTCAATTGTTTCCCTGTAAGAATTACATTTCATTTGCTGGTTGTGATGTGTGTATGAGTTTGTAGCAAGTGGATTTATACAGCTCAGTGGCTGTTTTTCCTTGTTGACATTCTTTGGGGATTTTTCTTGGCACCAATTTTTCCTTTTGGGACTCCTTGCTGTCGAAATAATGTAAACACTAGGGAAGGCAAGTATATCTCAGTCTGTTAAGTCCATCATCTTCCTCTGTGACTCTGTCTAATTATTTTCTGGAAGTTTTACCTAAGGAAAAGGTGCACCTCAAAGGCAGAGGTCCATGCTGTAGTAATGGGGGCCGGGGGTAGGCTAAGCAGGGCGTCAGAAGGCAGTCTCCTGCCTTTTGAGAAATGTCCAGTTTTTCAGAGTTGGTGAAATTCGATGGTATTTGTAATTTAAAATAGGTTTTACTTTGAAAGCTGTGTGGTGCTATGCATTACTTTTATTCTGATTGGTGGGCTTAGCCCTTCGGACAATTGTTTAGGGACCTACTTGGTGTGCATCCCAACCCTTGCCTCACCACAATGCCCGAGAGTGCTGTGCTACTGGGGATTTCCTGGAGTTTAGGTGAACTTCTGTGATGAAGCAGTAGCGTTCCCCAATTCTGTCCATTCCCTCTCCTGCTGGAAGCCCTCCCGACTCCCTGGGGTTGATCAGCAGCTATTTGTCAGGGACACAGTCACCTGTGACTCTCTTTCCCACTGTGCTGTGGTCAGCTGTTGACTCAGCCATGTCTTTCTTTAGGCTGTTCTTTCTTTCTTCCTTTTTTTTTTTTTTTTTTTT